TTGTGGATCTCGAGGTCGTGTGTACCTGGGAGTCTGGGCATGCCCAAATAAACCTCTTGCTGATTGCATCCGCACAAGTGGTCTCGTTGTTCCTTGGGAGAGGGTCTCTCCGGATCGAAGGGCACCCCGCACGGCCGGGGGTCTTTCAGTAAGAAGACCTTTACTCAGGCAGGCAAGCCCACCTAGTCGTCTGGAGTGACAGAGCTCACCGCAACAAAATTGTTAACAAAGAAGCAACTTTATTGAAAAGGTTCCAACACTGACTGGTCAGGGCCACAGCTTGGGAGCTGATACTGCGACCCCGAGCAGCCCCCATTCTTTGTTTTTTTAAAGGCAAAATCCATGAGGTGGAGCCTGGTCATGCGCAAGTGATCAATGGGATCATAACACATACAAAGGATTGTACAGTCATACCAGCCCACACACAGGTGGCATGTGCAAAAGGCAGGGTTTATTAAAAGCAAGAGGTGTCGCCATTAGGACCCAGATTACAACCTATCTGTTTTATGGGCCAGTCTTTAACTCAACAATCAAGGTGGGTTAGGTTGTTATGGGGAGGGGGACCTAGAGGCATTCTTTCCATTCCAGGAACTAGGCTGGTTGGAGCCAAGGTCTAGTTAACATTGTTTAAAGTTTTTTTTTTTTTAAATCCCTAAAACAAAGGCAAAGCCTGGAAAGAAGTTGTACCAGCTGGAGACTCTTCTCAGGGCCTACTTCACTTGCCCTTTTAAAATTAATCAGAGCTGGGAGATCAAGAGAAATGCCCATCTAATATCCATACCTGTCTACCTTCTAACTGGATAGAAAGTTACAGTCTTGCCTTTGTTACCTGTTATTTGTATTTATAGTAGCCTCTGACTGGTTACACCTAAACTGTCCATTACGCTTTCCCCTACCCAGTTGCCAAAAAGACTCTTCCTGCCCCAGGTCCAGTTATTCCTCCTTCCTTGTAATGGGCCACAACTGGTCTTATGCTCACAAATGAAGAAGGAAATGTTGGGTGTTCTTTTTCTCTTCATCTTCATCTTCATCATCTTCTAGTCCTCTTGAAATCCTCTCAGTGATGTTTATTAGCCTCTTGCATTCCTTAAAACCATTTGGGGAAACCCAATCTATAAGATGTCTGTGATCACAGATTCATTTCCCTATGAACTAAGTGTGTTGCCCTTCTCTTGAATGTACTTCAAATATAGCTACTAGTGTTTTCAGCTTCTCAACTATGTATTTTGGTCCCAAAGAGGAACTCTGATATATGATATGGCACAAGAACGTGAGACAGGGTGGGGACTGTAGTAGAATTACCAATTGAAACCACCTACAGGAATGGAATAAAAGAGGCAAAGTATTTTGGGTAAGTGTTATTTCTTGCTTTTCTTCTATAAAGACTCATTATCATTCATTATACATCCACAGGGGAATGCTTCAGATGATAATAAAGCAGACACCAGGCCAGTCACCTAAATGACTTCTCTTTTTTTTATTAATTAATATTTTTTATGTTGAAAATACAGTAGAGAGGGGTTACAATTACATGGGCAAGGTAATGAGTACATGTCTTATCAACCTTTGTTGTCTCCTCCTTTGTTTTCCCTTCCCATCCCTTCCTATCTCCCACACACACCCCTCCAAGCCCCCACTCCCCCAGGCCAAAGTTGTAAAGTTAGTTTTTCGACATAACGACTTGTGCATCTCATTGTTGCAATGGGTCCACTTGTATCCCTATTTAAACAATTTGTTTTTTCCCCTCCCCTACACAAATTATACCAATATCAAATACAGTGAAAGCAAGGGTTATACCATGGGGGAAGGACATACAAAGCAACAAAGAAATCATCTTATAAATATGTTAGAAACAATCGCAAGAAAGAAGAAACATTTGTATCCTTATCTTTGGGTTCATTTCACCTAACATCAACTTATCTGAACTTTTTTGCTTGTCTCAGACATACACTAGTTATTGCAAATAAGGGAAACCATGGGACCTATGTTTCTTT